TAAATTTTTTAAAGAAAAGGGTTTTGGGAAGATTGAAGTTAAGATAAATATTAAATTTGCTATCTGTAAAAATTTTAAGATATTTATCTTATTTTTTGATATTAGTAATATGTGAAATAATTTTAAAATATTTAGATTATAGATATATATCTTCTGCAAATTTATTATAATTTATAGTTTGATAGTTGTTAAAGAGGTATAAGTGTATATGGGCAAGGTTAATACAAAATTATAAGCAGTTTTAAGTTTTGCAAGGTAGAACTGTAGCTGGTAAAGCAAAGATTTTAGAATAATTAAGTTTGATAAAAAGATAGTTATAAAAACTAAAATAAGTTTTTTAAGTATTTTTTAAAAACTGGAAATAGAATAGTAAATACTTTATTAACATCTAGATTATGTTAATAAATGAAATCTACCAAAAATTAATATCTTTCTTTTGCTTTTTATGAATAATTTAATAGAAGCTTGCTTTAAGAACTTTGCAATTTTTTGCACTTTCTTGATTATTTTGCTAGAATAGAAGTCAAATAAATGTAATTTAAGAAAATAAAAGATTTGCTTAGCAAGTTTAGTTTGCAGTTTGTTATTTTTTTCTATTTTTGTGAGACTGGGTAATTGGCTAGCTAATCAAATATTGATTTGGCTAATCAGTACTTTGCTTAGAGATATTAGTAGATTGGTTTGGTTGTGATTGTTGTAGTATATTGTCTACTATATTAGACAAATTAGTTAATATTGTTGCTATATATTTTCAGATAGTATTTGTTGTTTTTGGTGTTAGTATATAAGAATATCTTGTTTTTGTTGTATTTTAATAGTATTGATAATAGTAATATTGGGGTAATATCTGATTATTTTTGTTGAACTTCACAGTATTTAAGAGTAGATATAAGTTTGAACTTGGTAATTGGTTGTTGTAGTGTTGTAGAATAGTGTATTTGTAGTTGGTATTGTTGTGCTGATTGCTAAAGTTGTTGTACTGGAGTATTTTGAGCTAAGTTATTTTTAGTTATTTTTAAGATTTATTGCCAGGTAATAGTAGTAGTAGTAATTGTCAGAATAGCTATTGTTGTTGAAAAATTGAGGAGTTACTAGTGAAGAAGTTATCAATATCTATTTCTAAAGCCTTTTTAAAGGAGTTAGTGATGCAAGTTCAGAAGTTAGAGATTAAAGATATATGAAATCATAAAGAGATTGTTTAAGTTTTGAAAAAAATTTAATATCTTTTAAAGAACTATAATATGGGTTTGTGAGGTTTTGAATACAAAATTTATAATATAGTAGCTTATTATATAGTATTGCATTATTTGCCAACTGATATTTATTGTTAAAAATTTTACAATCAATAGATTGTTTGCAATATGAACAGATATATTAGTAAAAAGATATGAAATAGTAAGTAGGATAATGAGACAGAGACAAATTTAATAATCTCAGATTTTAAGAGCCAATTCTTCTTTTTTTTACTAACAATTTGGATCTTAGTAGATTTGTGTTCTTATTAGATACAAATTAGATAAGATATTTGCTATATAGACATTTAACAATAGATAAAATAACTGAAGTTTCAAAATAATAGTATGATTTATTTAATAATTTGGGCTATATATAGCTATATAAATTAGAGTTTGTATAGTAAGAATACAGTAGTATATTTTAGATAAAATAAAGTTAGATAATTATAAAATATTTAGTGATGATATATAGTATTTTAAAAATACTAAAATCTAATTATATAAGTTTTATAATAAGTATATTATTAAATTAGTTATACAAAGCTAATATATAATTTTTTATTTGTATATTATCTTTTAAATTGTAATACAGACAAATTTGCCTGTATTCTTTTTATTAAATTTTATTTTTTTAATAAAATTTTAGATATTAATTTTAGCAATATACTTTCTAAGCAAAATATATTTTTAAATATCTAGTTGTTAACTTTATTAAAAAAATTTTTTAAAATTATTAAAAACTTTTTAATTAATTAAAATTTAAAGTTTGTATAACATTAGATTTACTAGTAAATTTTCTTTAAGTTTTTTAAAATTTTATATATTTTCAAGACTAAAAAAAAATTTACTTTTAAGATAAATATTAATTTTACAAGTAAATTACAAAATTTATAATAATTAAAATTATAATCTATTGTTTAAATTATAAAGTTGTATTAAAAACTATAGGTTTAAAATTAATATTTTAAAGTTTATCATATATAAACTAAAATATTTTTTTAAAACTTTTTTTTAAAATCACATAATTTTGGTTTATAAATAATCTAAAATTTTTTCTTATAATCTAAAAATAAATTTTACAAAAAAGTAATCTATATTTTCAAATATTATTATATCAAATTTTATTTGAATATTCTAAATTATTAAAAAATAGATTAGTAGCATATTTATAGTACCAATATAGATAAATTTGTCTGTATTAGTCTACAATTTAAGGAATAAAGTTGTCTGAAATCATATATCTGATAGTAAAATATGATTAAGTTAAAAATAGATATTGCTAACCTTAATTATATTTTATAACTTGAGTATATTAGTTAATTATTTTATAATTACAAGTTTAAAAATAAAAGTAAAAAATAAGATATAAATATAGTTAATATAGATTTTTTGTTTTTTTATTATTTTTTAAAAGGAAATTTCTAATTTATACAACAGGTAATTATCACAATTATTTTAAAATTTTGCTTATAAAATCACTTTTGAGGCTCTAAGTAAAAAAATTCTTTGTGAAATTTTACTATAAATTTTACTAAACTCTAACCCTAATATGAGCTCTGACCCTTACCCTAAAGTCCTAAAAAATATTTTTTTATTTATTAAATTATTTATTTATTTGTTTATATTGCACCAAATTATATATTGTAAATCACAGATGAACATCACCTGTGATATTTATTAGTTATTTTCTTTTTAAAATATTAATTAAGCTGATAATTTTATTGGTTATTTGATTATAGATTTATTTGAAGTTATTAGATATTATAAACTAGCAGTCTAAGTATCAAAATATGTATTTGAAAATTTAATAGAAGATTCAAAGTCTGTTGTATATAACAAACTTTTTTTTATATTACTGTTGCCACTGTTATAATGATAATAAGTTTTTATTTTAATTTATTTTAAATTTTTTTAAATATAAATTTATGACATTGTTAAATTACACCACTGGTATTCAATACAACTATACTTTATAACCCAAAAATTCATTTATGAAACTATCTTTGGGGCTCTAACAAAATATAAACTATGCTCCTGCCCCATCCCAGGCCTAAATCCTAACCCTAATATAAAATTTAATTTTCATTTGAATAAAATTTTTTTGATCTACATATTAAACGATTTTCATGTATGTGGTGTTGAACACCACCGGTGCAATATATAATTTTTGTAAATTTAAATAAAAATTCTTATTATGCTAAAACAACTAATCAGTCTATATAAGATTTTATTATATTCAAAACTATAAAGACTTTAAATTAGTCAAAATATTATAATTTAGTAAAAATTAAAATAAATCAGCAGCAATTCAGTAACAATTCAGTATTCAGATACTGACTTCTTGCATTCAGTTGCATCTTAGTATTACTGAATTAACACTGAGTGACAACTAAATGCAAGAAATCAATACCTGAATTATTATGAAATTTATACTGAATTGCTACTGAATTGCTACTAATTTTCTACTAATTTATTTTTTTCAACCAGTGTTTGGATGAAAAATTTTTATGTATCAAAATAAGTGTGTATGACATCTAAATATAGAACCTTTTGGGAACAAAAAGGTACTTATTGTTGAAAAATATATATTCAAATTTCAAATGATGATTTATTTTAATATAGTGAATGCTTTTTGTAATTAAAATAGATTACCATTTCATATAATTTTTTTTGGTTTGTAAGTTCAATATTGTAAATACTTTTTCATAATTTAAGTAAAATAGATCTATGGTCATTTTTTGTCTATTGGTTCAACATAAAAAAAAATTGTTCTTTTTTTTCTTATAAAATATGCATACATAGTCAGATCGATCCGTCTACCATTTTTTACGGGCGACGCTAGGGTCGTTATAAACCCGTGTGCAATTAGTTACACTCAGATATCCATAGCTGATATAATAAATATATTATCGTACGGGTCTTATGTAACAATAACCGTGCGTAACTATAATATAGGCCTTAGTTCAATAAAATGATCACTAATTTAATATAAATACGATTTATCATTGCGCAGACTTTTAAAAAAATTCTCTCTTGAGATGTCAAATAAAACTTTAGCAATCGATAATTCGGACGCACAATAATCAATTCTCTTGAAGAAGGCACTGATTCACCACCAATATCAGCACTAACCAATAATGCAAGTAAAAGATAAAAAACGAACGGACAAACAATGCAACATTAGAACAATCAACACTACAAGCAACAAATAATACAAACAATAAACAAAAAATAGTAAACTATGCAAGTGACGATTGAACAACGAACTCAATAAATAAAGAAGGGCAAACAAGCCAAGCTCCAAGAGATGATCATAGTCAATTATTTAGACATCGTAAAAAATGAGAGTATTACAATCTTTCTTCAATAACTAATTAAAATGTAAACAATATATTTAAATATTATCCTGCTTTTCAATAAATAGCATTGTCACAATTTTAAAAATAGCCAACCTAATAATATCTTCGCCCAGCAAATATCAATTTTAAATACACCAGATTTAATAATACTTTCGTTCACCAATAACGATTTTAAATACATCCGGCCTAATAATATCTTAAATACATCCGAATAATAATGTCTTTGCCGAGAAATAACAAATTTAAAAATATCGACCTAATAATATCTTCGCTCAACAAATAACAACTTAAATACATCCAAACTAATCATGTCTTTGCCAAAAAAAAAACAGTTTTAAATACATCCGACCTAATAAATATCTGCCGGGAAATAAATATCTTTATTGAATTCTCAATTAGAACTTGTTTATTGGGTTTTGTGAACTACCAGATAGGCTATTTTCCCGTCTTTTTTTGAGAGTTTTGAATTCAATGAACCATAAATAACTCCGACAGAATCTACATCTACTTTATCTACTTTTACATTGAGAAGTCCATGAACGTTTGTTGAACAATCTTCAACAAGCTGATTGACTAATAATATAGGAGTCTCAGAATTTTCAGAATGTTTTTCTTTTGGAGAGCTACCATTAGCATCTTTCTTAGAACCTACGCCTACTTTTATAGTTCCATGATACAGTTGAACGTTTGAACAATTTCTACCAAACGGAAATGTAAAGGCATCTTCCCATTTAATATTTTTCTGACCAGAGTTACCTCTACTAACGCATGTGTCAACAGTACTATATATAAATAAAATTAGTAATATAATAACACAATATAATGTCAATTAAATATGAAAAGGTTCTGCTCACCTAGAAAATAATTTCAATCTAGGCACTACAATATTTTCGTCGTTATCATTAGGAGTAAATATACATGCAGAATTTTCATGTGTATGACAATGTGTACCAAAAATTCGTGATTTGTACGGATTATATCGAGACACAGTTTTTTCTGGAGCTTCAATGACACACGTACATAATATGCAGCCAGTAACTTCGTAACCTAGGTCTTTAGCTACAAAGTGGGTTCCTTTTTCTGAAACAAGATACTTATCACTTTTGAGTATTACGTCCGTATTATCGAAATCAAAGTTTCTCGGATAGCCCACAATAATCCACCCGATTGAAATTTTTTGTTGTTGACTTTTTTTCACCGGAATACAATTAATAAAAATTTCCGGTGTATTTTCATCTATGTATTCTACATGTAGAGAAAATATGTTTCTATGTTCTTTGTTCATTAAAGAAAGTATGTTTCTATGCCCTTTATTCATTATTGAAGCAAAAATTTGACAATCATAAATATTATTAATCATTTTCGAGCTTTTCAATTTTCTGAATATTTCATGCAGTTCAACACGAGACGGTTCTTCTTCATTAGGATTGCATATTATTGGTTTAACATCCGCTATTATTTAATATATAATGCAGTGTGTTAACGGATCAAATATATTTATTTATTAAATTTTAAATAATAAATGTGGCAGCGAAGCTGAGATCGGCTGAAGCTGAGATTGTGAGTCTTTATTTAAATTTACCGGGTGTTCCAAAATTCACTCAGCAGTCCTTTATAAAGATTATGATCATGATATGTAATGATTATTTATGCAAAATATTAGTTACGTAATAATTATTAATATTATAAATTTATCGTAAAAAACAGGGACTGTTGAGTGGCTTTTGGAACACCCTGGCTTCAGTTTATGGTAATGTAGTGCCTGGTCAGAACCTATACCAACAACTTTAAAATTATTCAACTTTTTACCGATGTTTGATAAGTCCCTGGACAGGACCTTTTTGTTAATCACTTAAAAGTTTCTAGATAGATGGACCTTTTTACTAATAAAAAACGTAAAAGTTTCTAGATAGATGGACCTTTTTACTAATAAAAACGTAATAGTTTTGATAATTAAAGTGATCAATAAAAAGGTCCTGTCCAGGGACTTATCAAACACCCAGTATAATACCTACTAAAACTCATTTTAAAATTTAATATTAAAATATTTCAAAATCTCAACTTCAGCAGTCGAGGTGGGACCGTTAATGTTACACATCTAATCCCACACACGTTGTGATCAATTAAAATAGAATTATTTATGCTCTATAGTCTATGTGATAAATATAATCCCTCACCAGTTTTAATATGTGTGTAACATTAACGGTCCCTCCTGTACTTCAGCAGATCTCGCTTCAGCTGCCACAATAAAAATTTTTATTTACCTGCTAAAATTCTCTGACCTAAAGCAATTAGAACTTTTTCTTGCAGTTCATCATCTAATAATTTAAATATTGGACAAATGTCATCATATTTAATTATTTTCCAAGTTTGAAAATCGGCAAGTGAATTAAGCCAAGGTGCTATATCAGTTTTTATATTTCCATATGTAGATTCCAATCCACCCCTAATGCGTAGGAGCCCTTTTTCACTGCTCGTTGAATGTTTTACATTATTATTGGTGTCTTGAGAAATAGATAGATCTACCATTTTATTAGCATTTACTTGTAAAGTAGATCTATTGCTTTTATTTCTCGAGTCTTTAGAAGGAATAATAATAAACAAATAATGCAACAACTTTTGAATAAAAATATCAATAGTAATTATTATTACTTACTAGAAACTTCGATATTTGTGAGTTTTTCAATAACAGCACCACCAAAAGTTATACGATGAGCATAAAAATGACCATATTTTTTTGATATATTACGAAGTTCATCTATTTTATCGCTTGTAGTTCCTTTTGATAATGCTTTTATAACATCGTTTTTAAAATCATCAGTTAACGTAATACACGATTTTGGTATGGTAAGCTCCGCCTTTTTTAATTCAGTATATGAATATTTGGTAGATTGTTTTTCGAGCATTTTATGTGATTCTTCTTTAGATTTTCCAAGAAATATTGAAAGCCAGGGTGAAATAGACAATTTCCCGTGCGCTATGAAGTTTCGTTTACATAATTCTTCAAATTCACTTTCATGGTTTTCTTGTCGTTTATCCATCGCACATTTTAAAATTTTCTTACATTCTGGTCTGATTTTTTCTTCATTTATCTTAAATGCACGATGTTTAGCCTTATCGACGTCATTTTCATTATCAATTATAAATCCATGATCACACATATCAATCAGAGGCTGCCAATCAATATGAGATTGAACGATATTTAAAATGCATCTGTCATTGATAATTTCTTCCAAATTAATTTTAGACTCCTCCTCTTTGTATAAAATTTTATCTTTCTCGCCTAAAAAATAATCATCTGCTTTCATACGGAAACATTGCGGATTATTAACGTCCCCAAGCAGATTTCGGATTTTGTCAAGATTCTTGTTAGGTAATGTACATTGGAAGGATTCGTATATCACTTTATGTTCATGATTTTTAACTCTGATTTTTAAAGTAAGTTCTCGATCAATTGAAGAATTCTGATTTCCCATTTTTTTTATTTATTTATTTTACTGCTAAGTAGGATGGTATAAAGTTACAGTTCGCTTTATAGCCAATTTTGAAGCAACAAGCTTTGGCTACAAGAACATATTCTACCGATTAGGTTTCCCATTTTTGGCCATTTTCAATGAAATTAAAGTTGTTTTATAACAGCATAAAATTATTAGTGAAACATATAATTTTATAAATTTAATAATGATAAATATATATATAGTAGACAGCAGGATGTAACTGTCGTGTGAATATAAACATTAAGTTTGTATCACGGATTCAACGGCAATAGTTAACAAAAGGTGGGCTTAAGTAAGTATATTGGTTATGTGGAATAAGATTATGGTTATTATATAGTTATATATCATTATTAAAATCAAATAGACTTTATAATACTACCGGAACTTATATCGACTATATAAAAGAAATCGAGGTTTTAACTTTTTTATCTCTAAATACACACGTTTGGTTTCAAGGGTATGCATTTAGAAGGTATAGCTACATTATCGTTTTATTTTTAAAATTAAGGTTACATTTTGGAATTATTATTAAATTTAGGGCCCGATTTAGACCAAAGATTTTGTCTATCTTTTGCTAAACAAAATATTGAAACACTAACGTAGTAAAAAATTGTCCTAATACGTAGACGCTATTGTTATCAAAAAAAAAAAGCAAGACGATGATTACAGTATTCGGGCAATATTCAAATTTGGTGTAGTTTCACAAACCTAATCTATTCGAAATTTTTTCTTGTCACCAAATCAAATTGGTATACGAGTACGCCAACCTTCACGGAGTTGCCCGATTGGTCAAATCTGTAGATCAACATACGAACAAAGTTATATGGCACAAGAAATCTAAAACCACAATATCTAACATTAAACGTGCGTATAAACAAGTAACACAATAGTAATAAGTAATCAGGCAGGCACAGCCTGATAACGGATTTATCCGGCAGCTTACTGTGATTTTTTGCCCAATAATTTTATTATTGGGCAGGAGCAATAGTTTAACTAGTTTAATTGAAGATTCGACAGAGAATGATCTTAGCAGTGTTGACAAGACTACTATGTCCAATTGTTTTCAAAGTCAATTGGACATATGTTCAAAACCAATTAGACATCAAATTTGTCAACTTGGGATCTTATAGACTAACTTTCTTCTGATTGGCCAATTTCTTACAATTGAATTTATACAGTTTAAAGTACTTTTTAAAAATGCAACATTTCACAAACGAAAAATAAAATAAAAAATGTCTCTAACTTCTAAAAGATGCAACACTAACTATGCACAAAGAATCAAAAAAAAATCAAAAAGATTGAGGTACATTACTTAGTAGTGAAATTTTTACTGCATACGTATCATAACTATTAAACTTTATTAGCTTGCAAACGAGAAGGTTTAACAAGTTTTAGAATACGAGAAACATTTAATACAAGAAAATAGTTACTTAGCAGTAAAGATCATTGATAGTTTCTTTACAATAAATTTAATATTATTGTCCGGAGCGTAGTGGAGGACATTTAATCTTTAGTCATGGCGATATAAAGGTTCCGTTTTTGATGCATCACAAGTTAAATTCTTCTGATGCATCAAAAATGTAATTTTGAAAATTCATGTCTGCCGCACGAGTGTCTATTAAAGTTGGTTTTCGGACGTCCTAAAAATTTTTGAGCTTATTCTAGAATGCTCCAAATTCCTGAAAAATATTCTAAAATTTA